CAGCTGCAGGGAAAATAAAGAGCTGCTTGGACTTAGTGGCAGCAGAATGGGACCTCTTTGTGTCACGCCGTGCATGAACAAATTTAGAAGAGGACAGATGGAACAAAAAAGAAATGATCCCACTCACAGAAGATGTGATGAAGCTGCATCAAGTATTGAAGTCCACAGCAGAGGAGGCAAAGTGAAACTCATGGAAGCACCTAACCCTAAAGCATACAAGATTCTCAGTGAGTGCCTTCTCTCACAAATCATACTTTTCAACTGAAGACGGCAAGGTGAGGCAGCAAAATTGCCTCTGTTGACCTATAGGAACAGAACCAAAGAAGAACCAAATCAGGGCATTATGCAGTGCCTTTCAAAACTGGAACAAGATTTGAGTCACAAGTTTACCAGGTTGGTGATAAGAGGGAAGAGAGGCCGTAAAATACCTGTGCTGCTTACCAGCGAGATGACAAAAGCACTTGATTTCCTCATTGAACAAAGGGGTGAGGACAATGGCATTTTAGGTAGTAATGAGTAAGTCTTTGCAAGACAGCATTCGGATTCTCATCTCCGAGGTTCAGACTGTTTGAGGAACTATGCAGCTGCAAGTGGGGCAGGGAAGCCTGAAATATTCACGTCAACCCACCTGAGGAAACATGTGGCTACACTTACTCAGATAATGAACCTGAAAGAAAATGAGTTGGATCAACTTGCCAAATTTATGGGACATGATATTTGTGTTCATCGTGAATACTATCGCCTAACCGAGAACACACTTCAGCTTGCAAAGATGAGCAAGCTGTTCATGGCAATCGAATGTGGAACTGAGGTCTACAAAGGCAAATCTCTTGATGAGATTGATTTGGGCATAGAAAGTGAGTAGAAAATAGATTTCATAATAGAATCCAATTTATACTTAAAAATGCTGTTGTTTGTTTTGTTCTACTCGTCACTCTAGTTTGCTAAATAAGATGAGTTCACAAAATGTTTTTATCAAAACAGCTGGTTTGTCTTCTGAAATTAGAGCTGTACAGAAGTCTCAAGTCAGTGAAAATGACACACAAGTCTTCAATGAGAAGTCTTTGGAACCAGCTCAAGACTCCTATGGTATGAAGCCATCAGAGCTGTTACCTTGAATATCAGTTTTCTTTCCTGTCTATAAATGACACAAAGTAACTAAAAATGTCCATCCTGGTTACTTCTTCTCTTTAAGGGTCCTCCAAACGCCAAAGGTCAAAGATGGCATCTGAATCATCTCAAGTTTCAGATGGTATGAATATTTTTTGGGTCATGTGAGGAGCACTGTGGAATGAAATATTGCATTATCTGATAAGACGATGATTCGTGGTTAATAGTGAGGTGATGTGTTCTTTTGCTGCAGAAGAATCAGACATGCTGACTCAACAGGCCTCAGCTACAGGACCATCACACAAGCTCAAAAGGACAGAGAAAACAGGTACTGCTCAGTTCTCAGACTTGAGTAATGTTAATTACAGTAGATGTGGATTAACAATACATTACAAATTAGATCACAAGATAAATTTTTGATTTATCAATATTGAGAATGTCTATCACATTTTGTCATTTCTGTTTCAGCTGTGGACCTACAGTTACTCAGCAAAAACAAATGCCAGCGCAGGCCGTGGAGTTCTGCTGAAAAAGCAGCGGTGTGGCGACAACTGGGGCAGTGCATCACTATGCAAAGAGTTCCTGGTAAAGAGGTCTGCCTCAAGGCACTTGAAGCAGAACCAGTACTGGGCAGTCGCAACTGGAAAGATGTAAAGAATAATGTCCACAACTCCATTATGTCTCAAAAAAAAGGAAATTTTTGTAGTTCATTTTTAATTTATGTTGTACAAATAAAGCCAGTTGTGACTAATTTCATGTGCTAAATTGTTTATCAAGCTTCTATCAATGGAGTGGGTGAATTAAAATAGGTAAATCAAGATTAGAGGACTTTGACAAACATTGCTTTCAGTGTTACTGGTGTTAAGCAAACTTAGCAAGTGACATGTAAGATTGAAAAAA